CAGGTCATATTCCATCCTCTTGGGCTAATCTCAGAAGGCTCGAGTCACTAGACCTATCACAGAACCAACTCACTGGAAAAATCCCGCAGGAGCTAGCAACCCTCTCGTTCTTGGAGTACATTAACGTTTCACATAACAAACTCACGGGCCAGATTCCACAAGGAACACAGATGGGAGGACAGCCTAAATCATCTTTCGAAGGGAATATTAATCTTTGTGGTCTTCCGCTTGAGGAGAGTTGCTCCGGGGACAAGGTACCATCAACACCCGAGGCACGAGAGCCTTCAAAGGTAGAACAAGTGTTGTTTTGGAAAGCGGCGGCAATCGGCTATGGCCCCGGAGTCTTTTTTGGACTCGCGATTGGACAAGTCCTTTATTCGTACAAACCGGTGTTGTTCTACAAGTTGTTTGGCCTTTGAGATGAAGTTTTTTAATTTTGTTTTGTTGAAAAGGTTTTTGTAACCTTTTGGACATAGATATGTATGTTTGTGAGTGATATTGAAGTTTGTATTATGTTATAAAATAAAAGTGACATGTAAGATTTTTGCTCTCTTGGCTTTGTAGATCAAATTCTGATTTTTGTAAACTAAAATAAGATCTTTGGTTGATAAAGTAATGTGGTCTTGATTTGGTTCCTGACGACTATACGCACTGTTGTTGTCCAGTCTTATTGGATAGACCATGATTTTGTCTCTGCCTAGTCCTTACGCTTCGCATGTTTTATCAAATTTATCAGAGAATCTCACCATTCCGCTCTGGTTCAAATGCTCTCTGTTTAATGACAAACCTGATGATACAGAACAATTAAAAAAACTCTCAAGTGCAGGGATTGTCATCATCTCAGCAGCAGCGTGGCTAAATCTCTCTGCTCAATCTTCTAAAGATCTCAATGATCTCTCTATGCCCTTTTTATTAACTTTTGTGGAAGTGTTTCATGTTTGCTCTCTTGCTCGTCAATCGTTATTTTTGGGTGTTCTACAAGATTTAGTCTCTAAGGCTGTATATATGTTAACAAATATACAAACTTGCAGTATACACAGAATAAAAATCGTTCTCTCTCCTTGCGACTCCAAGGCGACTAGGGTTTTGCACCTTGTTTTGCCGCCGCCGGTCTGGCCTCTCGCCCACCGGTGAGAAACTCTTCTTTCTCCCTCCTTTTCCTTTCTTCCATAGAGTTGATGATGACTTCTCCAGTTTCAGAGTCACTGTTGCTCCTTCCCCCTCCTCCTGAACCGCCACCGTCAACCCTTCCTCTAGATCTGCTTGTTGAGATCTCTGCTCCGACCCTCCGATTCCTCCTGACCCTCGCGATTTTTTCGGCGCAGCAGATCGATCTGTCCCCTTTCTCCTACCTCTGTTCCACCCTAACAGCTGCAAGGTCTCATCTTTTTAATTGTACGACAACAACTTGCTCAGTCTGTTTGTTGCTCGTACCTCTTAGAGTAAAGCTTGTTAGGCATCTTCTTCTCCCTACTACTGGTTGCAGATCTTGGATCTATGATTTTGTTTGGGGAAAACATGGTTTTTTCTCCAAGTTCTTAGGCATATTTTCGAAAGATATGGTCTTTGTGACCCGTTTAAATGATTCTATTTGGGATGGAACCTACCTTAGATTCGGATTTCTTGTCCTCAATTTAAGGAACCAGTCACGACAACTACCTCAGTATGAGGATTGTAAGCTTCCTGTCAGTCATTGTTTAACTCAGTATGAAGCGTCTAGGCATTTGTTTTGCCTTACCTTACCTCAATATGAGGTTCTTTTACCCCAGCATGAGGTTGTTATTAAAAATCTCTCTTTGTCCTCATTACAATATTTCTATGTGTTGGTAGTGTTCTCTGACGTTGCAGGTATACTACTACTCATAAAGATAGGAGATGAATTCAAAAAAGCTAACCTTAGCTCTTTAATCTCAGACTTGTTTGTCTGTCTGTGGTGGTTCTTGCAACTCCACACCCTGTTATGGTCCTCACAATTCCAAGGCTCATCAAGAAGGTGCTTGATCACCTCTGCAGCCAAGTTTCTTGCTGCTTTCTATGCATTTGTTGCTGCAGCATGTTTGGGTAGCAGCTCACCGAGTGTGGCTTCTGATTCCCATGGCGTCATCTCACCGATTAGCTCTAGGAGTTCACTCTTAAGCTGCTTCTGTGTTATGTTTGTCTATATCTATGTTTATGTTACCTGCTTTGCCTTTGATGCAGCAGTTTCTTTAGCTTGTTTGGCTGTGTTATTGTACTTGTTGAACAATTACTCCAGTGATGGAGTCTTAAGTTTTTATGAAAGTTGGTTTGAACAAAAAAAAAAAAAAAGTCTCTAAGGCTGTATTAGTTTGACTGAAAATGATCTAAAACACTATAAACACTACAAAAGTTAGTTTACGTAAATAGAGTAAGGCTGGAAAAAAACTTCGGAGTACGTGAAAATAATCAAGATGCTTACACGCCACATACATTTTGTTATTGATCAAAGCACAAACAGAAAATGTTGCAACTACTTGGCCTATCTCATTCACTAGCCAATGTGCTTGAACAAGGGACCTTAGGCATGAACATAATCCTTGCTGTCCAAAAATGTTATGATGATCTCATCATTCTACGATTTCCCCCTTCTTCTAGTCCATTGGTGTTCAAATCAGTAGCTAGGATTTTGGAGATTGCAGTCATCATTCGAATCAAATCCCTTTGCAAATTCACATTCAAACTTGAAATAATCACCTGGATCCATCTCCGCGAATAGATCAGAGTATGTGTCTATTAACCCTTGCTCAAACTCAAGCTCCATGTTCTCAGCAGCATTCATCCCCTTGTTCTAGACTCCTGGATCAACCTGAGGATGTGAATTCTTGGTGAACGGATTGAACATCCTGGGCATTTGTACTTCCATGGTTTCAACTTGCACTCCCCACATACAGAACTATCCATTTTTTGTTGTGGTCCTCGTCAAGGTTTTGAATCCATCGGAGGCGTTAGGGTTTATGGAAATATGTTGAGGGTTTATAAGAGGAAGCTCGGGGAACATAGGAGAAGTATATTTCCAAATTTATGTTTTGTCCCTAGATAGACTTATTGAGATTTAATTAAGATTTATGGGGTATTTTAGTTGTTATTTAAAATTCAGAGGTTATTTAGAGATTACCAAGGGTTTAAGAGAGTTATTTAGAAAATTATAAATGAGATTACCAAATTTGTAACAGTGTTTCTATTAACTGTTTTGTTTGTTTTCAACGTCAAATCGAGAAATTTCTTCCCCCGTCGGAATGGCGACTCCCGATCCCAACTCCTCCGTCTCTCGTCACCGCGCAGTCTCAACCACCTCCTAGCTCTGTTTCAGAATGATGCTAACAACTTAACAAGATTGCTAAAGGCAAAGCAGTAATTGTTCAGGATGGTTTTCTTTGAGACGTGAAGCCTAACACAGTTACTTTTATTAATTTTGATTAATATTTATTGCAAAGAAGGTAACTAACTTTAAGGAAGCAAAGAACACATTCAAAATGACTGGCATCAAGAGAGAACATCGACCTAATGTTCACTCACTTGCAATGTGATGATCAATGCCTACAGCAAACAGGGGAAAAGTAGAGCCCCCCCCCCCCTTAAGAACTTTGGTAAATGCTTTAATAAACCGATGCTTTGCATCTTCTTCTTTTTGCAACAGAGTTGCGGTCATTATCATTCAATACTGGACCCTAAAGACTGTTTAATTTCAGGCCGAAGACATGTTGAAGAAGTGGCATATTGAGACTTTGAGAGTAACGATAGTACTATCAAGTAGAGACCAATCTTTAAGGAGCTTTCGAGAATTTTGGGAACCAACAAATCATAAATTCTGCAAACCGAATCGAGGTTCTCTACTCGATCTATCGGACGTAGTCTTAATATGTATATTTCTTCCAAACAATCTACGTCCAAAGTTAGCTGCTTTGAAACTTAAAAACCAAGAGATCAAAGTTGACTGACTCAGTGATGCAAAAAGACTCTGCTTTTAAATAGTAGTCGGTTCCACATTTCTTCACATTTGTATTTATATGTTGACCATTGACTTCTATTATACAAGTAATTGGTGCCCCTGTTAACCTATCGACCTTGTTCGGAATATATATAGATTGTGAGCCACACACAAAGTGGAAACTTACACAGTTGAAGAGTCAAATAACTTGACTTTAACTCTTATCATCGTTGTACATTATCCTATATATATTATCAAGTTGTTTTGGCTGAAAAACCAGATACATACATACCAAAAGTTTCATCTTCAATATCTTTGTTTTGTTTCAAAGTCTTTATTTTCCAGAATGGAAAAACCGTGTTTCCATGTTTCTTCTATCTCATGTTTCCTCTGTTGGGTCTTCCTCTCCAGCTTCTTTATCAACACTCTCGTTTCTCTTCCCTCTCCTCGTTCGGACCAGATTGATATCCTTATGGCGTTTAAGAAAGAGTTTCCAATCCTCAAATGCAACTTCGCAAAGTGGCCTCGTTCAAAACAAAAGACAAAATCTTGGACCAGCAAAGACGTTAATTCCTTTGATGATGGGGTTGACTTTGATAACGAGACTGGTGTGGTGACGGGGCTATATCTAGGTGATGCATGTCTGAGTGGCAGTCTCAGTGCTAACAGTAGCCTTTTCAGATTACACCATCTCAGGTACCTCGATCTCTCTTTCAACGACTTTGTCTCGTCCTCATTCCTCCCTGAACTTGGAAATCTCACAAACTTAGAGGTCTTGCGTCTTTCTAATATGGGCTTAACCGGTGAAATTCCATCCTCATTCAGTGGCTTAAACCGTCTGAAGTTGTTGTATCTTTACGGTAATGAGCTCATCGGTAGTTTTTCCCCTTTACTCAATCTATCAAAGCTCTCTTCTTTAAATCTTTATGATAATCATTTTTCTGGAAACGTTCCTTGTTCTCTACTCACCCTGCCTTCCCTATCATATCTTGATTTGAGCGAAAACCATCTCATCGACTCTCTTGAACCTATGAATTGCTCTTCATCATATAATCTTAACATCTGTGGGAACCAAAATCCACCTACTGTCAATAAATCGTAAAAAAAGAAACTTCGGAAAAACCCTAAGTTTCCAGAGGAACCGACTATCTGCAGAACCGTACAACGAAGATTAAGAAAACGATAAACTTAGAATTTTTTAAAGAATAAACGAAATTGAGAGCAAAGCGGTTCTTATTCCGAATCTGCATAAGAACTGGTACAAAGAGAGTAGCCGGAAACTTAAGAAAGAAAAACCCTAGACGCAGCTCGCTAACAGAAAACAGAAATATTCCTAAATGCTAATTTTGGTGGTGAGAGCTCTGAAAATCGTGTGTCAGCTTCTGCCCTATGCCTCCTCCTTATATACTTCTCCTTAGGCGGTTTTGATCTGGAACTTTCCATATCTGTCGATCCTTCCTTTTCTTCCGCGGAAATCTTCTATTTATCTTCAAACTTGCCTTTTATCTTCCATCTGCGAGTAAACCTTCAAAACGTTATCGTATCTTCGGGTTTGATTTCGTTAATGTCGCGAGATGGGTTTTTATCGTGTTTTAGGACCTTTCGGGCCGTTTTACGATAAAAACCGTTTGACGACTTTAACGAGACCGTTTCCTGATCCGATGCCGTTTTTTACGATTTTCGCGACGTTTTTTATTAAAAACGCGTTTTTATGATCTTAACAAAAAAATCTCGGATAAATCGGAACCGTTGCCGTTTTATACGTTTTCTTCGAGTTCTTTTCGGGAAAACGGAGTTTTACGGTTTTTATCGTAGAATTCAAACGATAAGTCGGATCGAGACAAAACGAGAGATATTTCTGCCGTGGTTCAGAATGTGACCGTGTCGAAGGACGTAAGGTTCGAATCGGGGCCGCGGGAGATCTGGGAGGTCTCTAGTTTGCCTGCTGGCGAACTAAGCCGGGCTGGCTTAGTTCGCCAGCAGACGAACTAGCCGAGGAGTTCTTAGTTCGCCTACTGGCGAACTAGTTGGAAGCTTCTAGTTCGCCTGCTGGCGAACTAAGCCAAGCTGGCTTAGTTCGCCAGCAGGCGAACTAGTTGGTGAGCCTCTAGTTTGCATGCTGGCGAACTAAGCCAGCTTGGCTTAGTTCGCCAGCAGGCGAACTAGTTGCGACTAGTTCGCGCTTCGTGGCTGTTTCGGTCTTTCGCGGTTTTGTAAAACGATTTCTCGAGTTTTATAAGACGGCTTTTCGAGTTTTATAAAACGATCTTCGAATTTTATAGAACGGCTTTTTAGTTTTATAAAAAGATCTTCGAGTTTTATAAAACGGCTTCTCGAGTTTTATAAAACGATCTTCGAGTTTTATAAAACGGCTTCTCGAGTTTTATAAAATGATCTTCGAGTTTTATAGAACGATCTTCGAGTTTTAAAAAATGGCTTCTCGAGTTTTATAAAACGATCTTCGAGTTTTATAAAACGATCTTCGAGTTTTATAAAACGGCTTCTCGATTTTTATAAAACGATCTTTGAGTTTTATAAAACGATCTTCGAGTTTTATAAAACGATCTTCGAGTT